AGCTTACGGGATGGAGTGGGAAGGATACCGGTACCGGAATGAGCTATCGGAATGTGACTTCCATCGCCAATGGTAATGGAGTCGGAACCTTGATAGCTGGTAGAGGTTGTAAGATTTTCTGTGTTATTAGTCATATGAGATGACGCGCCCGAATCAAGATACCACTCGTTGTGGTTCTTGGAATCCGTCGTAGCTGTAAACGCTTTTGGTTGATTGTCATTAGGTTGTGATGGAACGTAGTTAATATTGAGCCTGTGCCAACAAGATGTTGCACTGTGCCCTTTATTGTTGCAAATCTGGCACATTAAAATCGGTTTTGAAGGATCACGCCCTTTGTTTTGCAAACCAATTTGAGATTTTCCCTTATTACTTTTGAAGCGTCCGCGACCGGCATAGAGAGCCGATTGCTGATGGGTGGGCAAGGAAAATCTTGCAGCGTCATTGTGAACGTGGATTTCTTCGCTAATAAAAAGCGAATAAAAATTGTCGAGACTCATAGAGCTTTGCATTGTTCGGATAGTAGTTTTGAAAGCTTGATATTGCGGTGGTAGCCCGTTAAGAATGTACATAATGATATCTTCCGATTCGATTGTAGATCCGGCTGCGGCTATTTGATCCACCAGAATCTTGATGGCTGTAAGGTACTGAATCATGGTCTGGTTCTTCATTGAGATACTGTTGAGCTCATTTTTAAGTTGAAGAACCTTTGATCGATTTGAAGACTGGAATCTTGTTTCAAGTGCTTTCCATATATCTGCAGTTGAATCAAGATTTAGAACGTAAGGTAAAACCGTGGGAGATATTGTAGAACAAATTGCCGCAGAGAGATTTATGTCGGTGAGAAGCCAGAGAGCGGTAGCAGAGGCGGTTGTGAGCACCGGTGAGGCATCTTGCGCCTCTGAAGCTGTACAAGAAGATTTAAGAAAATGCTCGAATCCATTTTCCCGAAGCAGCTTGACGATCTGGTTCTTCCAAATCGCATAGTTGTCGGTAGTTAGCTGCGTGGGGACGAGTGTGCGGAAGTTGGAGACAACAAATTTGAGGGACGCCGGTATGCCGGAATCGGTGGAGCTGACGGTCGAAGCCGTGAGCGAAGACGTCGCAGAAGAAGCCATGGAGATGGAGGCGCGATTTAGGATCTTGCCATATCTGATACCATGTAGAAAAGGAAGAAGAGAAGAATTGCAGACAATTAAAGAAATTAGTATTATTCGTATTCTTTACTGAGACATGTATACAATATATAGACTTTGCTCAGTTTGTTGAGTACACGTGTCAAGCACTGATAGGAATTTATTTGAGTACAGTAAATGAAGTATTTATTCATTATTGCTGCTGTCTTCTAATAATAACTAAAATTTATGTTCGTAAAGACATGAAATATGTTTAGTATGTTGTTTTATAATTTCAACTACGGAGGAGATAAAAGATGGCTAAAAGACCAAAGAATCCCATAAATGAATGGAAAGTACTTTTCCTAAAAGATGGTAAATGAAACCATTTCATCCCATCCTACTAAAAAAAACTTGTTATAGGAAGAAAAAAAAAATAAAGAGTTGGTTGTGAAGGTAGAAAAATAGAAGATGTTATTCTTTTCAAAATATAGCAATTTCATCCCACCCTCAGCTAGCTATAGAATCGACAATGACAACAAGGTGCTTAAATAATGCTAAGCAATTGTTATATGATCAATAGAATCAATATTGAATATTCGATGGAGTATTACAGATTTCCTTCATATTTACACTATGACACTCTGAGAAAATCTATAAATAGACCATACTCTCATATGAGAGAGGACCATAAATTGATATTCAAAAGAAATTAGAGGCTCTAGGAATCCTTGAGCTCCACCCAAGCACCACTGGCAGGATATTGTTTGTTAGTTGTAATCAGACAATTGCTTGACTGCCAACATCGAGCCTTGCTCGATTACAATAGTCAGACCACTACAATATCGTCATTATTGAGACATCGCTTGACTAGTATTGTTGTAAAACCACTTGTTGGGGCCCGTAAACCATCACCTAAATCACCAATTGACCATCAATGTGGAACAACTGATCGATCACCATCGTCGGACTATCATCAGGCCGCCCTTGTTAGGACACTGCTTGATCACAGCTGTTGTGACACTATCTAACGCCCGGTGGTTGAAGCAGCACATGAACGATGCCATCGAACCATAGATAGACTGCCACCCTCAAACGACTATCCATTATCAATGATCCTCCAACCATCATAGCCTAGCTATGATTCTTCAACTATTATCGTCAAACTATGATCTTCTAAGCACGTTTCCTAATTATGATAAACTAACCAATATCAGCTGATTGTAGTTCTCTAACTATTGTCCCCCAACTCTAGTCTTCGAACCACTCTAGTCAAATTATGGTTCTTCATCCACCTTCACCCCAACTGTGTCACACCCTAGTATCTAATGTGAGATAATTATATTTTTTCTCTTTGCATTCCTTTTGTTCATTATCCCGGTCAAGCAACACTGAATGGAGGGAGGGAGAGAGATGTCAGGAGATTTAAGAACAAATATTTAAAAATGTTGTTAGAGGTCTAGCCTAGATTGCTTAGACCTAACGTCGCAATGCTGCATATAGAATCCATAACTACTCTATTACAAAGTTTAAAACATTATAGAGGTATTTTTTGGCGCCGCTGTGCTCTCAACCCTAGTGCCACAACGATTATAAGCAAAACGCTGAAGCGCTCTAATTAAAACAGAAAATTAGTTTTTTTAACACATTTTTTATTTTGAGTTATCACAAACTGTAGTCCTATAATCATGATCGCATAACTATGGACCTCCCAACCAATGTTATCTGGTTATGACATTTTAATCATCGTCACCAAACTATGGTCCTTTGACTACTATTGCCAAACTAAAGTCCTCTAATCTATATTATCATACCACAATCCTCTCAACCATCATTGCTTGACTTTAGTCCACCAACCAACTTCATTTGGCTACTATCCTTTGACTATCATTGCCATACAATGGACATTTGATCAAATGTCATTATGGTTTTTTCGACCACTACCACCTGATTACGATCCTCAAAATTGCATCAGCAAACTATAGTCCTTCGACCACCTTTACCTTACAATTTTTCAACCACCATCATTCGACTACGACCCTTCAACCTCTGTCACCTGAATATACATTCCAATTATCATCGTTTGATTATGGCCTTGTGACCTATATAGCCTAATGGATCTTTCAACCACTGTTGCCTAGCTCTAGTCCTCTAACCATCAATTCATGTCGTTAACATCAATTTTGACTCTCAATCTCAAAACTAAGATTTTTCTTGGATTTGTTGATCTCTGATCTATATGATAAAAAATATCTTGAAGACTACTCTTACGCCATAGGATTTTTCTAACTTTTACTATGAAATTCATTAGATATATAGTAGGCATATTATATTATATCAACAATTTTCTCGCTCATGAGGAAGTGCACTATTTATAATCAAGAAGTAAGACTCCTCCATTCAAATAATATATAAGGTGAATTTCAAGGAAAAGAGTTTGAGTTTTAATTTTGATGCGAACAATTTTCCAATATCTATAAAAATTAATATAGAATTATTATATAAAATTATTATTATTTTAATATTATTATTAGGATTATAGTTTTTTTTCTTTTTAAATTTATAATTACCTCCTCATTCTTAAAAATTATACTTTTTCATAAACATTTTTTTTAAATAACATAAAAAATTATTCAAAAAAAATTATAACTATCCTATGAAAAATAAAACTGCTCAAAAATGAACTCTAATGACCCACACACTTCATATGAATTTAAATATATAATTTATTTTGGGAAGAAAAAACTTTAACAACCGCTCATATTTCTATCGTATCGTTGATAAATATCATTATAGATTTTAATCTTGAAAAAAAAAAAAAACTCTTCTGTGCCGATTCAAAGGAAGTCGCTGCCTCCAGCACTACCACTATCTTGATTAAGATCAAGAAAGCTATCCTTTGCAAGGTCTCCAAATGGTGTGATGGAGACTTATTGGAAAAATTAGCAGCTTAGCTGTTTAGTTCCATATGCAGTAGGGAGGACCTGGGCTTTATTAGTTCTGAATTGATTTCATATTCTAAAGAATTATGGTGCTTCTCGGTGATAGCTGCGAGATAATTGTTGCTGTTGGTTGTGGTTGCTTAGGCAGCTGCCTGATTGCAAGTCTTGGTGGCTTCAAATCTGATTCAACCTGTTATCATTTTGATCACCTGGACGATGATGAAGCTCCCATCCGTTTCCCTTGGACGGCCTATTGGAAACCAGGGAACTGCCCGGTCGCTAGAATTCGCTTTGAACCCATTTTTCTGAGTCCAGGTTTTTCAAACTTGGGAGCATTTACTTGGGTTCAACTTTTTCTGAGACAATTTGGTGTTTTTTACTCATGGCGGCCTACTTCATCTATATTATGGAATAGATTTCTTTTGCTTCTTAGCAGTTCACTCAGTTTTTCTTAGTATGGTATAGGTTTACTTTTCCATGCTTTCTGCTGCTCTTGTTGTCAGTCCTTTTTACGTTTTTTTTTTGCTTTCCTTTTGTTTCAGCGACTATGGCTGTTAGTTTTAGTTGAATCTACTGGTTGGTTGTGATAGATGTCAACTTTCATTTTGTACTTCTTTTTCTAGACGGAATAAAATGGGCTCATGCCCCTAACTTTCCCCAAAAAAAAAAGTCGAAGTCCGATTGTGCAAAATATCCGTACAATCATCCATATCTGATGTTTGCACATACGGCTAAGATTAAAGTTGAAAGCCACGACACCTATCGGTATTTTTATAAGAGCATCCGCAAAGTGTTTCTATGCGAGCAACGGATCTCCGTTACGATGGATTCGAGTCTCCGACGGCTGATCTGGCTCATCGAGAAATGAACGGCCGATCTAATTATAAAAAAAAATTAAAAACTTCGCGGTCGTTTCGTGAGAATTTTATATCTTTGCAGAGGCGGACCGGAGAGGCAAATCCTCCTCTTTCTTCCCATTCTGCATTCCCTCCTGCTCTGTCTCTCTATCCTCCCTTTCTCTCTCTAGAAACTCGTCGCCGAAGATGGTGATCTCGGCGGAGAAGGAAGAGGCGCGGCGGCAGAACATGAATGGCTTGGTGGAGAAGCGCACGACTTTTTCACCGTCGAGGAGATCGAAGCCGCAATCACGCCTCCACAACTTTTCCTTCCCGACCCTAAGTTGGGGAAACCAGAAACTGCTCCGGTGCGTCAACCCATCGGGCAGATCGATTGATGAGGAGCTGCAGACCGGGAGGCGTTGCTCCTCCCCTTCTTCCCTTAATGAGCTCCAGGCGCCTCCGCCACCGCCACCGCAGCCTCGTTTGACTGGTAAGAAGCAGGGTCTAGAGGAGGAGGCGAAGGAGTCTAATCCTTTGGGGCTATCGGCTTCAACACGGTGGAATCTGAGGAGCAAGAGAGCAGCCAGAAATGCTCCGACTGAGATCTTCTGGAATCGGAACACGTCGCCTTCGTCCTCGCAGTCTCAATCATTCTCTTATTCTCCTCTTCAGAAGGAAAAAACAAGTAGTCCGATGTTTCTTGTAACGAGATTGGAAGGATTCGATATGACAGAGAAGGGGGAGAGGCCGAAATTCTCGATCGCGCTCTCTAGGGAGGAGATCGAGGAGGATTTCCTCGCGGCAAAGGGGACAAAGCCCCCTCGTCGGCCAAAAAAGAGGGCCAAGTACTTGCAGAGGCAACTTGATGTAAGGAATGAGGGGAAAAAAACGCCCTTTCCTGCGTCTAATCTCTCTTTCCTAAATTTGGTGGTTTATCAAACTAATTCGTTTTTCCTCTTATTTCTGTGAATTTGTTTTCAGGCACTTTTTCCTGGGGCATTTTTATCGGAAGTGACATCAGATTTGTACAAAATTGGTGAGCAAATCGCTAATTTCTTCTTTAGTTCTTCGTTTCTATAAATTTTACCCTCTTTATGTTATCCTGACATTAGGAGTGAGATCTGATGAAATTCAATTTTTGCAGAGGAGATTGCAAGTTGATCGTGGTGGCGTTGTTCGGTTGAAGAACGACCGAAGATTCTTACATGCCAACTATCCGTATGAATTACGTTGAATTTGTTAGCTTGTTGTAAGACGCCAATGGATGTAATTGCTGTTATTTAATGGAAAAAAATTCAAAAAGATTAGTTTTCTTCTTCATCAGACTGCATTGAGGAGAAGATTGATTCCCATGGCATCCATGAATTGTGCCGCTAGAAAGAAATCTGTCAAGTTAAGTATGTTTCTAAGGCATTCTTTTTTTTTTTTTCATATTTTTTAGCTCTGTATTGTGCGGTTATTCATTGGTTCTACTAGAATGATGAGCAAGCTAACTCATTTAAATTTTTTTTTTTATTTATCATTTGTCATATGGACGTGAACTCTGATGTCTTAAGAATCAGGATATATTGCCAAAAGATTTAAAAAAAAAAAACTTTTCATAAAACATGTGGCATTTTATACAATTAGATTGAGAATGGTTCTTCTTTATAATTGAGAATTGATTGTCTTCTTCTCTAATTGATTGCAGAGGTTTTTGATTGATTGGAGTTTGATTTGGTTATATTTATTTCAAATCATGTATCCATCATAGGATTAGAAGGAGACCGTTAGATTTCAATATTTCTATGCTTTAAAATTCTATGTTTTTATGAACTTGTGAGCTTGTTTGCGTTAGAATATCTACTACGTTGTAAAATTTGTTCACTCTTTTTTCTCTTTAACAAGTAACATCACAGATTGTTGTAATTCATACAAATCTTCGGTTGGATAGTTTTCTTATTTGATTTCTAAAGTAACTTTTTAGTATAAAAAATTTTAGTTAAAAAAATTTTTGTACTAAAAAACTACTTTAGAAAGTAATAAGAAAGCTGTCCTAAATGAAGCCCAAGGCTTTAGGGTTTATTTGAGACAGCTTTTTTACTGCTTCTTAAAGCAATTTTTTAGTACAAAAATTAAAATTTTTGTACTAAAAAACTGTTTTAAGAAGCAGAAAAAACCCGTCCCATACGAAGCGTAAGTATTGATTGAAGATTTTAGATAGTATGTTCATTCTTCAGCAAATGTTGTGCTGTCTTTTTTAGTAGCACTTTTCACCTTGTGACTGCTAGCAGTCTTCTCTTATTTTCTCAAGTGAGGTGATTTCTCTTCTGCAAGCGAGCACATCAAGATTCACACTTTCTCTGCTTATTAAGTTTATTTTCATTAGTGAAATCTATTGTATGGCCAAATTTGACATTTGGATGCCAAAAAAATTTATAAAAAATACCAGCTAAAGTTAGCAATTTGTCGATATATAAATGTGTTTGTTAATTACAGCTGAATTTGTGTTAAGTAGCTTTGTTTTGTTAACAAAGATGCCCAATGATCTATTTTTCTTACTCTTCTCGTTGTTCTTTTAGCAAGCAAATACCTCAAGTATTACCATATTTTACTTTTGAGGACCCTTTGAAAATAGTGGCATTCCATTTTTAGATAAATAAACTCAACTCTTCAAGAGGAATACATCTCCATAAAGATAAAAAAATGGCTGTGGTGATTGTACAAGCCCAAGAAGTCAAAATTTTTGAAATGATTTGTACAATAACGAGTGTGCACAAGAGCAATTTGAGGTCTTTTGATGTTAACTCTCAGTGAGGGCTTTCTAATTATCGGCTTCCTCATTAAATGTGACTTTGTTTGGGACGGTTTTTTTCTGCTTTTTAAAATAAATTTTTAGTATAAAAAATAAAAGATTTTCTACTAAAAAATTGCTTTAAGATGTGTTAAATTCCTTGGAGACCATTTGAACATCAAAAAAAAAAACAGGTGGGCAAATGATGATGATCAACAGGTGGGCAAATGAGATAAAACAATATGTCAATTGGCTAAGCTAAGGTTTGCGGTGGGTAGGCTAGCTCAATGCTCATGTACATACATCCATAGACACATGACACAAAGTACATTACATAGCACATAACACAAGGATCAAATCTCAAATACATATATATATATATATATATACCTAACAACAAAATGCTCAAAATATAACTAACTCAAGAGTCACAATAGCATAAGGGTCAACTAAATGAGTTTTAACACAACGAAGTAAAAAAAATTATCATTAATACGTCATTGAAAATTACTTGATTGAGCACGAATCTCAAGGCATTTTAAAGTCGGAAATTTTCAAAATTAAATTCGGGATCATCTGAATTCCAATTTCAGCAAACTTATAGTTGAAATGAACATATAAAAGAGAGGAACCTAACAACACCAATATCGGTCCAACCCAAGCCAAAATGGGTCCAAATCGAGGGCCCGTATCACATTTGGAAGGGTCAAAGCATTATTTGGATGACAAAATAATATTCAAATATGGCATGCTTGTAGTCAAATCGATCGGTTTGGCGAGACGAATCCAACGAGCCCAAAATCTTTGAATTTCAGCAATGTTAAGGCACTGAAACAGTTGAAAAACTCTCTATAATCGGGGGAATCAATACGAGTCATCTGATGGAGCACTCTGAACCTGCCTCATATCTTATCTATATTTACGGGTTGTGTCACTCATTAAAATCTATAAATAGACCACACTCTCTATAAGGCTTCAAGAGCTCCAACAACACCGTCGGCAAAACCCCATCGACTGCCGTCAGATCACAGCTCGGTCGTCGATCACCGTTGAACTTCCTCCTGGTCGTAGCTGGAATTCAGCTTGACTGTCGCCGTACTTTAGCCTAACCTTCGTCGGACCATCGCCATGTCGCCTACCATCACTGGACTTCCATCCAGCTGCCGAGTGTCGCCAGACATCAGCCCGCCCGCCTACCGCCGACGGACATCAGCCCGTCCACCGCCAGATATCAGCCCGGCAGCCAACCACTGCCGACCCGCCGCCAGACTTCCGCCCAGTCGCCGACCGTCACCCGACTTCAGCCCGACCATCGTCGAATCACCGTCAGCCACCCGACCTCCCCCCGACCGCTAAACATCGTCAGACTTTCACCCGGCTACCAACCGCCATCGGATTCAGCATGGTCGCCGACCGTCGACGAACTTCCGCCTGGTCGCCGACCGTCGACAGACTTCCGCCTGGCCGCCGACCATAGCCGAACTTCAGCCCCACAATCATTGGACCACTACACTACCGTCGGACCTCCGCCTGACCGACGACCACTGCCGGACTTTAGACTGACTTTTCTCAGACCACCGGTCGGCTCCGGCCTCTGATCTCCGCTCGGTCGACGATCGCTGTTGGACTTTTGCCCGATCTTTGTCAGACCACAGCACGGCCGCCAACCGCCATCGGACTTCCACCTGACTACTAACCACCGCCAGACATCAGCCCGACTTCCGACCGCCTACCGCCGCCAAACTTTAGTCGAACCATCGCCCAGGCACTGATTGCCTCTGGACTTCCACCCAACTGCCAACCGCCGCCGGACTTCCACCCGGCCACCGATAGCCACTGGAATTCAGCCCAACCATTGTCGGACCACCGCCCAGTCGCCGACCACAGCCGGACTTCCATCCGGCTGTTGACCTTTGTCGGATTCTACTCGACACCAGACACGGTCGGATTCTACTCGACACCAGACTTCTGTTAGTCGCCGGACTTTCGCCCATCACCAGACTTCCGACCGTCACCAGACTATGGTCCTTCCAACCTTCTTCGCCTGTCGATTACAGTTTGTTCGTCCTCCTCCGCCGACTACGGTCCCTCAGACCACCATCACCAGACTACGGTCCTTCCAAAGTTCGTCGCCCGCCAACTATGGCCCTTTCGACCATGGCCCTTTCGACCTCCTCCATCGAGTACGGTCCTTCCGACCTCCTCCACATACTACGGTCCTTTCGTTCACCGTCATCAGACTACAATATTTTTGAACTCCGTTGGACGCCGACTACGATCATTCCAACCTCCGACTACAATTGTCCCGACCTTCTTTGTCGATTACGATTCTTCTGACCTTTGTTGTCAAACAACTGTCTTTTTAAGCTCCATCGCAAGACAATGGTCTTTCCAACCTTTGTCGTCCACCGACTATGGTCCTTCCGACCAAATGAACATTTCAATACTAATTCTTCAGATTCCCTCAACCCAAGGCCTTCCCCCAAGGAAGAGCCTCATTTGTAATCGACTGCAAATAATAGAGAATTCATTCAAATTTGGTCAGGCCCAATGATTTTTTCCCCTTTTAAGGGGTTTTCAAGTAAAAACTCTAGTGTCTTTTATAAATGCTACACCCTCTCTATTTTATTTGATTGCGTGCTAGATCTTCATACGAAGCTAAGACATTAAACTTTGTACTTCTCTATTGCCGCGAATATTCCAGGACTCAATATTCATTATTATTTTTAATTAATTCTTTCAAGTGTTAGATTTATTGATGGTTAACTTTAAAGTTAAAAATTTCTTAGGCGTAACATTCTTTAAAACTAGATCTTTCTGTTTAGATTCAATGTGTCGCATATTTGTATCGTCGCTAGTTCTATATTTATTATCGCTTAATATAAGTTTATGTTGCATAGATAATATGAACTTTCAACTAAAGATTTGAATGTACAGCCTTACATATGATAGATAGCTTGGACTAAGTACCACATTTCTCTGATGTGAAGGGGGAGGCTTTACATAAGATAACTAGAGTTAACTTGGGGAGTAAGATAACTCAATTTGAGAAAGAAGATAAGATGCAACTTGATCTTAATATCATACTAAAGTTTCGTTTGGGATGATTTTCTTACTACTTTTCAAATCAACTTTTTAGTGAAAAATTAAATTTTGTACTAAAAGCTGCTTCAAGAAGCAGTAAGAAAGCCGTCACAAACGAATCTATTACTTAACACATTAGCTAGCTAATGGACTTATTTTTTGAACTATCCTTTTTTAAATTGTTATTATGGAGATACTTTCATTAACACATAGTTCTTATTGCTCGATGGAAACATATCAATCAAGAGTTATAAGAGGTGGAACATAAATTGGAAGGGCGTTCTTTGTGTCATCCTTACGCCGACGCTCTTGTGTAAAAGTTCGGGTTATTGTTTTCCGTACATTCTAGTTTCTATCAATTATAACTATAAACTTATACAATGTTTGCTTATGCTCGATGTTAAAGTCTTTGAATTGCTCTTCAAGTCTAGTTAGACACTATAGGAAATTCATTAAATATTGACGGAACTTTCGGCGATCGTTTGACCACCAGTAATGACTGGCGATTAGCCGGCGGTATTTGTGGAGGAATATTCTGGCGACTTACCTGTGGTTTTGGGTTTA